CTTTTACCCATTTTGTGCAGATTTTGTTGCGCATCGTTTGGTATATTTTTGCACGTACTTGTCTATTAATGGAGCCGTGACTTCCAATGTTCAGATGAGCAGATCCGGAAGATTTTGAAAGATGCAGGCAAGAAATGGCACAGGGGCAACTGGATTCCGCACGATTTCCCCCAAGCTCAAAAGAACAAAAGAAAGCAAATGGTGCAAGCTTATCTTCGTCGTCACCGCCGCTCTTCGTTTTGAACAGAATTGTCACCACTGATGAGAAGTGGATCTTCTTCAAGTACCAACATCGTCCAAATGAGTGGTTGTCACTAGGTCAACAAGGAACATCAACGCCGAGACCAAATCGATTTGCGCCAAAAGGAATGTTGAGCATTTTCTGGGACCGAAGTACGCCGATTCATTGAGACTTGTTGCAAGCCGGTCAGAACCTGCAACGCTGAGCGGTGTTGTCAGCATCCGGACCGTTGCAATCAAGCAATTCCACTCCACCTCCGTTGCCAAGTCATTTTGCTTCAAGACAATGCAAAGCCACACATTGCCAAGGAAACAAGGAAGAAGATGATCGATTTGGGCTGGGAGCACTTGGATCATCCACTGTATTCGTCAGATCTGTCTCCGCCCAATTTCCACCTATTCAGATTGTTATAGCACTGATTGGACAAGAAGACGCATTTTAAGACATCAATCATTTGCGTCGAGAATTGACTGGTTAATTTGCATTGAAAAATAATGAGTTTTATGAGCGCGGAAATGAGTTGTTGCCGAAGCGTTGGCAGAAATGCATCCAGGCAAACGGAGAATTCTTCAATTAACGTTATCCCATACTTTCGATTACTTGGAACAACAAAGTTTTCAATTTTTGGATCACGTTCGGAAACTTAGTTGGAGACATAGGAAGAATAGAAGATGACTTTTCAATAGCTAGGGGCCGTTATGAGTTGTGAACCGCTTTATAAGAGACTTTATCCTATTGTTCCATGGAAATTAATGATAGGCATGCCGCTATTATTTTGGCAACTACGTTTTGTCGTATTTTTTGTTATTTTAGATATTTACAATAAACTTAATCCATGTCTTTTTAATCGTGCTCTATGTCATTCAAAAACTCTTGATCGAGACTTTAAATGTAAACCACATTATTTCTTGCCACTGTATGAAAATTTCTTCTACTTAGGAATGAATACTTCAAAACTTGATAGTCTTAAATGTTTTACGTTCCGGTGAGATCATTCTGCCACCGAAGCGACAAGAATCTTAACTGAAGCACTTAACCACAAGACGATCGAGCTATGAACTCCACAACAATGGTTCAAAAAAAGACAGTGTACAGGCAAATCTTCGTCAAAATCGCCTGCGGCAGTTTTATCAAAGCGGCATCAATTTGCAGCAAGACAACACTCGCCCAAATATTGCTTGTCTGACATCGCAAAAGGTTGAAGAGTTAGAATGGGATCGTTCAATTCATTCACCTTATAGCCCACATGCCTGCAAGTGATTATCATCTGTTCAGGTCCCTGCAACACTCCTTGGAAGGAAACCGCTTGATCAAAATCGATAATGCGATAAAGCGTTTCCCTGCGTATTTTTGCTTCAAAAACGCCAGATATCTATTGCCAAGGCATTGGAAAATTACCACAAGTTTGGCAGAACATTATTAATTTCAATAGTGCATACTCTGCTTAGCAAACTTTTCTTGTTAATGTTCAAAAAAGGTTTTGCAGGGATTTTAAACGCGACAGAACTTAGTTTTCGACCCAAAACTTACTTTGTGTTAAATGAGAAGCGCTTTGAACTGACCGTCATGCTTTTGCTGATGTCCTTGAGCGCTTCGTCGGCATCTGCTTGTTTTTCAGCCAACAGTTTACTCTTCTTGGCTGCTGCCTTCTGCATAGCAGCCACCTGCTCACGAGCTTCAGTCAATTTCGATACGCCAGCCTGCAGACCAAATCTGTCCCTTTTTCCAGTAATTCTTCAAAATCCGTCTTTAGTTGATATAAATTTTAAAACTTCAACTTGACTATCATCAGTCCCCAGCGGACTCCAAGAATCAGATTAGCAAGTGAAATATTGTGGGTGACATGATATGTTCATTCGATTTTATGTCTTGTAATTTGCTCATGAGCGAGGAGAGTTAACATGTGAGCTAATACGAGCCATATATAATTCATACAGTGGCATCGAAAAAACAAAAAAGAAGGATAAGGTGTAACTGATCAACAAATTAATAGCAGTCCGCACTTGACATGTTAATAATAGGCTGTAAAAAAGATTCTGAGAAGATGCTTGTAACTTTTTTAGGTTTCGGCCATTTTTGTGTTTTTGGGCTCATTTGAAAGTCCGTCTTCTCCCGTGTTATCGGTATATGATTCATCTACTTATTTCAAGGTGGAGTTAACAGGCGAGCAAATAAGGTTGTTGATGATGCACGAATGGCTGTTGGGTTCAAAATGCAGCGGTGGAAAGTGAATGTATCAATCCGGCTTGAAGCGAAGTTTATTATATTAGTTTTTATTAGTTCATATCATATTATATATTTGTTGTACAATATATATATACTTATATATATATATATATATATATTAGTTTTGTCTTTGTTCGGGTGTAAGTGCATAAATAAATGCTTTACAGCCATTTTCTGAGAACTTTATCTATCTTCAAACTACGTTTCTCCAACTTTTTAGCGAATGCTTAATTCAACCTACTCTATTTGATGTGTGTGTGTGTTCAAAGAAAGTGGACTACCTATTGACCTCGGTTTCTCAATGATTCCTTGTTTTTCTTTCTGAGCTAAACACGACTTTGATGACACAATTTTTTCAGTCAGCTGACAATTTGCCTGTTTCCCCTTCTTCAGGACCTGGGAATATCGGGTTATCCACAAACCAATCAGCCAATCACTTTCATCACTTTATCTAAGAAAAAAAATCATCAAACCTAGGTTTCAGTCGCATCATGTACAAAACAATATTCCACATACTCACCGTTTTTACTAAGTCTTTCTTTCTATTATGTTGATGTGAGAGGTGCAATAGCACTTCCTGTGATTTCTGCCCGCTTGGTTTCCACCCGAACTCAGTGGAGGACTTATAATAAGCAATATGTAAGAGGTTGTTTTATGCTTGATTTGACTGATTTATGGATTTGGTGACTTTTTCTCTCAAAATATTGGAGGTGTTTGGCTGCAGGGTTAGGGGCAACCTGATTTTCACACATTTCCAAGAAGTCGCAAGCACCGAAAACAGCACTTGAATGAAAATCTGTATTGTAAAAATCTCGTGTTTGGCTTGAAAAGGAAAGACAACGAATGACCCTACTAATACTTTCACGGATTTTAGATTTTGCCAAAGAAACCTTGCGGATGCTACGTGAAAACTGCGAAATAGCACATTATTTGTAATTTCACCAAAACCAACATATTTATTCTACGTTTTAGCTTTTCGCCGCATGAGTTTAGCATCGAAGTAAAAAGCGTACTTTCTAAAGTGCTCAACGGAGCTCAGTACTTCCCACACCAGCAACAATCAGCGTGGTATTTCATCTGCGCTGTAGACAAGGTATGACTGCGAGGCACATGGAAACGGGGCAACTTGTGTCACAAGACTATTTGATAGGTGAAAAGTAGGTTTCCTTAGACAAAACTCACTACAACATGTAAACTGAGAGCTGGTATTACAATAATACCATTATTCTTACTTTGAGCCGTTCCAATCGTCCGACAAGCACCGATTTCTTTTTCTCGCAGATCGATGCATAATTTTCAATACAACGTTGGAATTTGTACGGCGATTGAACTGTAGGAGGAAGAATCGCTTCAAGGTGACTGCAAAATCATACAAGGAAAACTAGACAAAAGGGAGAAAAATGCATGAAAAAAGAGTACGCAAACAAATAAATAATGATGTCTCAAGGTTAAAATTTGCAATGAATCGTGATCACTACAGAGTAATGGTGAGACGACAGCGGTTGAATCTGATCAACAAGAGATGACGTCGTGTAGAAATCTCATGGAAATTAGAACCATTCTGACGAAAGGTTATGCATTAGAGGAGATAATCAACCATGGGAAAAACCTCACGGTAAAGAGGTTAAATATATGACCCAAAAAATAAAAGAATATGTAACAATACTTTTCAGCTGACTATTTTGAGACCTCGCTTAAGACTATCACGTCCTGACAGCATATTCTAAGCCTTTCATGGGGTCTGTTATGGCACTTACAAAGTGCTAGACACTTGTTTGGGCCTTTCAGCCTCATCATCAGCACAGTGTCCTTCAGTTCACTCAGTTCTTTGAGGACATACCCTCCATATAGAGGAGTCGACGCTGAGCTTTCTACACTAAACGTACGGTAGAAAGATCACCATATCGTTCTTTCAGAGTATAAAGTTGAGTAAAAAAATAATCTGACAATGCACTTTGAGTCTTTCATATACGTTATGGGTACTCCAGCGCAAGACACGTAGGCCTTCCAGCCTCTTTAGTTGCACGGTGCCTTTTCGTTCAGTCAATTTCTGATGGACCTACTCCTATATAGAGGAATCAACAACAAACTTTATAAACTCGACGTACAGTGGAACAATCACCGTAGCGTTTTTTCAGAGTGATTAAATTATCTATTCCACGGCTTATGGCTGTTACGTGAGCATATGTAGCAAACACTGCGATCGTATTTTGAGACTTTGCTCAAGTACAATATAAGCTGACAATGTGTTTTTGAGCCTTTGAGGTCTGTTAGAGTGTTGAAAAAGAATATTCGTCACCTGAAAGCCTGGGTGGTGCTCTCCGCAACGTCCATTCCTTTCTTTTGTAAAATGAGTGAAGGCATCTGAATCATAGATTCCTAACTTTTCAAAAGTTATCAGCAGCAAATTTCCAATCGCACCTCACTCAGGATCTTATGAGTAATACTGCAAAATTCTCGTATTTTTACTGCTTTTTTCGCTGTGTCATGATGTTATATACATACCTCAGAGAATTGATTGGTGAGCGGAAACATGGCCCCAGGCAGGAATCCAACCCGCTTTTCATCCATACGAGGGACGCATGCTATTACCACTACACCACAAAGCATATTTGCGACACCACTCATTCTTCAAGATCTTTATGTCTTAGCTGTCAGCCACCAACCTCTAACAAGTTTGGTCGGGTATGCCATTTCGCTTTGTAAACCCAGTTGAGCTGACAGCCACTGTTAAATGTTTTTACTCCGAAATTCTAGTATTTTTAATCGCTTTTTTTCGCAGTGTTCTGATGCTACTTTCAATCTTTTAACCTTTTTGAGTGACTTCATTTTTCACTTTTAAAAAGTTCCAATAGAGCTAGTGTATTATCACTGCGAATAAAAATGCGATCGCTTTGCTTTTAATACTTCAGCTTTGCAAAGAAAGTTTCAGAATTGAATTACTATTTTGAGTAGATTTATAACAAACTGAAGTACATTTTGTATAGCTGCTGCAGAAACTCATTGAAATATATCAGTCAGAATATAATAATAATATATCAGAAATATCAGAAATATATATAATAATATATCAAAAATATCTTTACATTTAGAACATGGATAGACGCTCGCATAAGACCTAGCTTCCTCACCACCTACTCCTATCTATTCTTTCAGAATTCTTTTTATCTGACCGCCACTTGCGGTGGTATGGTCTAGTGATATACCCAATAATGTGGAGTGCTGTGAAAAACGTTTGCGTCAGCCGGGATTCGAACCCAGATCTCACTCTTTCCGGGAGCGTATGCTAACATGCTAACCGTTTCAGCACCGACGCTCGTTTTTCACAGCACTCTTTTTACGCTACAAGGCGTTACTTGTCAACAGCCAACCGTCGACGGTCTGTCTATGTTCTATATATTCTTCATGATTGTTGATCATGATGATGATCTGCGAACACTATCCAATAATTCACAAATCTTTTGCGTTGTAAGCCACAAACAAGCGATGCGGTTATTTTAGACGACGCATCAGTTTCTTAAGAGCCCACTTGGATGCTTCTGGCTATCCATCATCTCTCCTGACATGCGTAGCACCTTATGTGCACTCAATATTTAATCACCTACATCTTTCAAACGGTCAATTTGAGTTCTAAATTCAATTGGCTATAGAGATCGCATCATCGATGTAAGAGCTTGACTCGATACTATATTGAATACGTTCCTCATTCCAGATTTTCCGATTAAACCTTTGACTTCCCAGTATGCTCGTTTTGACCATCCTTCTACACTACACGAATTCTGTTAACGAATATTCTATGAATCGCTTGAGTTTGTTCTAATTATATCGTGTAGTATCTTGACGATATACAACAATACACCTTATTGTTCATTGTTGAGTAGCTGGTTCAACTCCAACAGCTTACTTTATGAGTATATGGGTGTTTCGATCCTACATCAAGCTCACAAAGCCTTTCATCCTTTCGATGTCGGGAAATTAGAAACAGGCTCACTAAGTACCGTCCAAAGGAAATTACCTTAGCTTGGCAAATGCCGAATTACAGAAGGAACAACTCGATTAACATTCAAAGATATTCATTTACAAGACGACATTCACAGAGATGCGGCCAAATTCATGCGATAAACTTTGAACACCTTCAAGGATGATAGACAAGAGGAAAAATCTGATGTGAGTGCTGGGGTTCGTGAGCTGATGTGAAGACGGGTTGGGTAAAAAATTTGGATAAGTCCCTTGTATAACTAAGAGAATTGAGTGGTGAACAAAAACATCTTAGTTATATAAGAACATAATAACACTGCGAAAAAAGCAGTTAAAATACTGTAATTTTTAAGTCCCTTGTCTCAACCCATCTCTTTAACCTTTCGGGACAAGATCTTTCTCTCTTTTTTCTAATAATCTTTTGGTAGTCATTCAGTAGCCTCGCAATTTTTGAAACAGCACTTGGTTTCTGGAAAAACCTTCTTAGTGCTTTGAAGGAGTGAAAATAAAATTGAGTTTCACAATCGGCGCGTATAATCACCTCTTCGAAGAACGCAGCGGTCTCGAAGCCGCCCTAAAAGGGCGCGAATTTTGATATTTGTTCGAAAAAAATTTCTTCCGTTCTGTAAAAATTTTCAGGTTTCCACATTAGCAATGTATAAAAACCTTGTTCTTTCGTTCTATGGGCCTAGACGTCTATTTTAATTTTATATTGCCGAATAAACCCTTCACAACCCCTAAGCCGAAGCTTAAGTTCAAGAGTGCAAAATGTAATCTTCTTCCTTTTCCACTGTTCTACATTACATCTTTCATAAACCAAAGTTGACCTCAAATCAGCGAAGTTTATACTATCGGATAACTGCCAAAATTTTGTTGAAAGACCGTTCACAAACTCTAGTCGAGCGAACTTGCGCGGTGAGAAAGAATTGAACTATCGAATGATCATTCAGACAGTTGCTGATAGACTGCTAAAAAATCAGTAGTTTCGGTAGTAAAAATCCATTGAGCAGCTGGCTTATGCAGTAAGGTCAAATGGAGGCTTCCCCGAATTGTCGATACCAAGTAACTCAGCGTAGTGCATTGAAAAGTGAGAAGAAAGCATTAGTGAAAACAGCATTGATTCTGTTCTTGCCATTACTCAGGTTGGTAGACAAGGTGCCAATCACAACGAGATGTGAATGTTCACGACTTCATGTCATGGGTAAAACGGTAGCAAACGAAAGCACTTAACGAAGACGTCGTCACTACAAAATGCTAGCGGGCTTTGGCAAATCTGATAGCGATTCTCGTCGTCCTAGCTATGAGTTTTTCCAAAGACGGCACCGTTTTCTATTACTTGTGATTATTCGTAATCAAGGCCAAAATTTTTCTTATCTTGAATGAGCCGAGCGGTGAACCCGCACTGGAAATCGAAGTCTAATAGGAGTACGTAAGCCCATATGCTTGATTAGAAATCTTTCGCAAACGTTTCACTTGTTAGAACTCAACCTGTAGAAGGCTTGTCCCTCCCCAGCTGTCTTGCCATATGACGTTGGACTGCTTGAAAATTGCCGGATTCTCGGTGATTCTCGATTCGAACTCCGTACTATCCGTGTCCAGCACCAGGCCAATATGGAGAAGTGTACGAATTCCTAAGAGAGTAAGCTAACAAACATTCCAATTTTGGTTGGCAATACAAACCTTCCTATTTTAAAAATCCTCCTGATAGCAAAAGGGTACTGCAAAAGCAAAACATACTGTGAACAATCACTCAAATTCTTCTTTTTCAGCCATAAACTAAGGCTGAATAGCATCCCTTTACAGACCAAAACGCTGCTCTAACATTTTATAGAACGATTAAGAAAGAAACGTAGCCTCTCCATAACACCAAGGCTAACGATGTACCAAGTTAGTGTTACCATCCTCTCGCACAAAATTGGTTTCACTTTGTCAAACGCGTAGAGATGGAAGGCTAAGTACACATTAGGCACAAATCGAACCCTTGACCATGTGCGTGCCGCAAGGTACTTCTATTCTCTAAGGCACCCGCGTCCATTGGACTGAATACTTCCATAATTATAGGTAGAAGAGCCTTTCTGCCTTGTTATTTGTTTCCAAGCGATAGTCTATCAGAAGTTGTGCTATCTGTGTTTCGTAAAAACGAAGATCACAATTCGGTCAATTAATAATGTGATTTACGATAGACGCAGCTCATTTGAGAGTTCACCACCATCTTCGTTAGAATAAACCTCTACCAATCTTAAACGAACTTTTGAGGAATTGCCCGAGCAACAGTGATAAAGGCAAACACTCTCTTATTTCTAGTGAAAGATAGAAAAATTATCTAAATCATAACTGACTCTGTGAAAAGTACTGCTGTATGTCTCCTTGGAAGCCGTCCTGACTGGCTTGCTCACGGAGCGCTGTTGAAAGTGCATCAAGTTCCTGTGAATTAACTACTGTTTTTCAACTTCAAATCCAATGGTTTCGTGAAGAATATGATAAACATTCATACACAGTATGTTTTACATCTTATTTTGCTATTATTGTTACTGTTAGCAAACCTGCATGCTGAAAAGGCCTGGAACGTCGCCGCTTGAAATGAGGCAATTCATTGCTTGGAGAAACTCAGGCCGTAAAATTTTATAATCTTCAAGAAGGAATACGACATGCTCACTATTAGAGATAGCCGTTTGGATGGCCTGAAATAGCAAACATTAGCTATGGCGAGAGTGAGTTATTAAGATTTTACAGAACTCAAAAAACCTTTTTCGAAAAGGAAGAAAATTTTGAAAAAGAAAAATTTTTATAAGATGCCACCTTTATCATCTTTAACCTTTATATCACTAAGTGACTAGAGTAATCATGGGTAAATCTTCATTCGTTGCTATAACGCGCAACAGCTTCCTGAAATTTGCATCCTCGAGTACTGAGTTTAAGCCTAGGGATTGTGCTCAAAGGGAGCCCAAGCTGTAGGATCTACGTCACAACACTTTGCAGATTGCGTGATCTCCTTCCTACGCAGAAAAGAAACATCATCGCAATGTGTCATGGTTTATTCATTGTCTTAGCAAAGAATCAGGTATCAATAGATCGTGGTCCCGTTCTTTTGTTTTTGTACCAGCCAGCATGTCAAACATATCCGTATACTAACAACCCTGCCCATAGTCCCATAGATTAATATGATAACCTGTCTACAGCACAGAGAACAGATTGCCTTGGCCGTTCAGAGCTTACTGCAATGAGAATGTATTCCTAGAGTGAAAACACAATCAAGAGCAAGACCATAATCTTTCTAATCTCCATCACCAAGCAGACTCTCACAAACCTAGCTTAGAATACACGTGTAAGAAATTGACGCCATCTTCAAGGAAACCAAATTCTAATGAAGAAACGCTCCTGCTGATCCTTAACGGTTAACGACTGTTGGTGGTAATTTCGTAAGCGACTGTGGTATTCCAAATCCGATAAAAAACTCGTAAAGTCGGAAAAGAAGCCGTCAAACGAAAATTGCACAACAACACTTGGAGGTGGGCCACTCATGCGTCCAAATGAGGAGGGTCTGAATCATTTTTCATTAAGAGAAGCAAACGGACCAAATCTACTGTTTAGGCAACTCAAAACAATTCCAAGACTTTAGTAGCCTTGTCGTTTTTTTGCACTCAATGCTGCCGTGCTGCAGTTCTTCTCGTAAAAAGAACCAGGACTTATATGCGTTGTTTTAGAAAAAACTCCTCACTGGTATTCTGCAGGATTCAGAAGTATGGATAGAACTCACGCCTACCCCTTCAAAAGTAGAAGAGCTTATATGCTGAAGCAAAACTCAATCGCACACTTCAGTTTTAAACTTGGGATCACCAAAGATATCGTATACACAAGTGCACTGACACACGCATATGGAGATCTGTAGGTGGGCAAATAGGGAACCTATATGTCAATTGAATAAAGCAGAAACACGTAGTTGATCCCTTATAACCCCTTCATCTTTGGAAAGGATGAGCACGGCTTTCATCTACATTACTCCTATAGAGAGAATAATCTTTCGGAATCAATTTCATGTCAGAAAAGTTTGTATACCGTTCGTTTTGAGTGTTGTCCTAAGACCACGCTCAAATTTCAATACTGTATGTCAGGTGAAATTATCACCAAACAGGCAGTGTTGTACACTCGATTGATCTTGGCTGGTATCGTTAATTTATTATACCTCTTGATTCAAGTGTTTTCTTGAGACCACGCTTGAATTTCAATATTTCAAGTTTGTATAACCTCGCCTTCAATCTACACTCACTTCTATCAATAGAATAACCTTAGGTCATTTTTTTCTAGCAATCGTCAACGGAAATCGTGCTTGTAGGCCAA